CTACCAACCCCCCCCCCCCCACACCAAGAAAAGAACAAAAGAACACCGACCCCCTCCATGACGCAACATGTAATTAGGTCAACCCGACGGAGCCCCACCCCAGCCCCCCCCCTCCCTCCCAATTCCCCGAAACCACGGCAACCACCAGGAACCCCACCCCCGCCGTCCTCAATTTCCCCCCCCCCTCTCGATTCTCCCGAAGACGCCACCCGGCCGACGCCACTCCCTCCCTACCCCTCTCGAATTCCCCAAGCGCCACCCCGTCCGACGACAACCAACCCTCCCTCCCCCTCCCCCTCTCCCCCCTCCCCCCCCTCGAATTCTCCCGAAGACGCCACCCCGTCCGACGACAACCCCTCCCTCTTTCCCCCCTTCCCCCCCTCTCTAATTCTCCCGAAGACGCCACCCCGTCCGACGACAAACCAACCCTCCCCTCTTTCCCCCTCTTCCCCCCTCCCTCCCCCCTCTCGAATTCTCCCGACCACCCCGGCCGACGACAACCAACCCTCCTCCCCCCCTCTTCCCCCCCTCCCCCCCTCTCGAATTCTCCCGAAGACGCCACGCCCTCCCCCCCCCCTCTTCCCCCTCCTCCCCCTCGAATTCTCCCGAGACGCCACCCCGTCCGACGACAACCAACCCTCCCTCTTTCCCCCTCCTCCCCCCCCTCTCGAATTCTCCCGAAGACGCCACCCCGGCCGACGACAACCAACCCTCCTCCCCCCCTCTTCCCCCCCTCCCCCTCTCGAATTCTCCCGAAGACGCCACCCGGCCGACGCCACTCCCTGCCTCCCCCTCTTCCCCCCCCCCTCCCCCTCTCGAATTCTCCCGCAGACGCCACCCCGGACGACACAACCCCCCCTCTTCCCCCCCTTCCCCCCCTCCCTCCCCCCTTCCCTCCCTCCCCCCCCCTCTTCCCCCCCCCCCCCCGCCTCATTACCGACGCCTCCGCCAAGATTCCCTCGTTAATTTGTATCTTGGAGCGAATTCCTCAAGTAATCTCGAATAGACACACCAAAGACGGCAACCCATTTGTGGTTTATTGCATCCATGGAATGGATTGGTAGAGAGGATGAGGAAGGGGAATTGTTAAGAGAAGGAGAATAAAGGATTAGTAGGACTGATAAGTCGGTTATGATTTTTCGGTTATGATTTTTTTTTATAGAAATTAAGAAAAAGAAACAAAACAAAGAAAGAAAAAAGATATTAAACAAGTAAACAGATAAAAGCGAAACGACAGAGAATCAGAAGTAATGAATCAGTAAAAGTAAAATGATTATAAAGCAATTATGCGGAAAACAATTGAAGAAAAATAACCAAACTACGCATCAGAAAACAAATCTTCATTCACCTCTTCGCAACCCATACACACACACACACACACACACACACACACACACACACACACACACACACACACACACACGCACACACACACACACACAC